GAATCTAGAAGACTAAAATCAATTCTAATTGCATTAGAAATGATAAATCAATATTAGGCCCACCTCTAGATCATTGGGCCGCACATAAAAATCAAACCGGGCCAGTTTAGTAATTTGGCCATAACTTCCTCATTATTCATCGGAATTGGGCTTATAATATATCGTTGGAAAGGTCTTTTCAAACCCCATCCAACTACACTATTATTGGACCCTTTCCATGGACCAAACCAAACTGGATTGGTTGTTTTCTTTAAATAGGTTTTCAAAAACAGAGAGAAAGAAAAGAATTAAAAACTATCCGCAACACTAGACTTTCCACACTTTCACTTCATTCGATTATGATTCGGCGTGAAAGGTAATCATCACTGGGTTTGGTTTTGGGGAGACACAAATGGGTGTTTACAGAAGCCCGCACTTTGACTGAGTTTTGAGAAACGCACGTTTCGAAAACAAAAGTCAAAGTATCGATAGGGACGGAGAATGACTCAGAACGTTTTGCGATCCTAAAACACTCTTGTAACGTCGATACCTGCAAACTAGCGTTAGTTTAAACAGATAAAAGAGTTAAGAAACGTGTATCTTGCACCGTCGAGCACACGTCTCTCAGGGTAACCGATTTGTTGCATTTGCTGTTGTGACAACCTTCCACAATCTAGGGAATGCTATCGAAGATAACTTCTCTTGAAATCACCTCCAGTTGTTTGTGACAACCCTCCACAAGCTAGGGAACGCCGCCGATCAATGTTGCTACATCTTGAGCCTTTTTCTTGAATTATAGTGACAACCTTCCCAATGATAGCAAAAGTCGTCGAAAACCGCCTCATCACGAACCGTCCTTCTCAAATCTTGGTGACAACCTCCACAATCTTAGCGAATGTCGTCGAAAACCGCCCATCTCGTGCCATCTTCTCAAATCTTTGGTGACAACTTCCACAATCTTAGCGAATGCCGTCGAAAACCGCCCATCTCGTGCTATCTTCTCAAATCTTTTGGTGTTAACTTCCACAATCTTAGAGAATGTCGTCGAAGACCGCCCATCTCGTGCTATCTTCTCAAATCTTTGGTGACAACCTCCACAATCTTAGCGAATGTCGTCGAAAATAACTTTACTTGAAGTCATCCTCAGTTGTTGCGATAATATTCCGAAGAAAATCACCAAAGACCAACACTTGTCAATCTTTAAAGCTCACTTGAACTTTGCTTTGGCCAGTGCGTCGGCGCTTTTGCTGCTCGTGAACCAGTACGTCGGTGCTTTGAATTGTGAACCTGTATGTCGGTGCTTCTGAACCAGTATGTCGGTGCCTTTGAATTGTGAAACTGTATGTCAGTGCTTCTGAACCAGTATGTCGGTGTTTTCTGAACTAGTATGTTGGTGCCTTTGTTGCTTATGAACCATTACATCGGTGCCTTTGCTGAGCCAATGCTTAGGCGCTTAAAGCTAAGTGAGATGATCATTCATCATGTCGATCACTTATTGCGATTGTAATCAAGCCGAGTACTTAATCATGTCAAATTGCTTATAAGGGCTAACTGGCATACCAAGGAACCCGAAATTGCTGAAAGAGGTTGAAATAACTGATCTGAGTGGTTGAGCGTTCTGTCGCCGCTGCAATGCCTCTGGCGCTGTGATCTGTTTCCAGACGCTAGATGTTGTCGTCTGGCGCTGAAGTAGGGTCTTCCCTATTTTGCTCTTGCTGCCGCTGGGATGCACTTGTATTTATCTTTGACTATAGGACTTTGCTAATCTCTTTAATTATTTTAGGGTTGACCTAAGTTTTAATGTCGCTTGACTCATTGACTTGACACGACTCAAGGTATAAACTTGACTTAATGTGATTGACTCGAGGTTGACTCGACTCGAAGTGAAACGACACGTGTGACTCACGACCCGTGTGTGCGTTGTATTGTGATCGTGCGACTCGAAAATGCAAAAAAGCAAAAAAATTCTGTCATTTTTGTGGAGGGTACCAACTTTCTCCCGAAAAAGAAAGATGCGAAAAAAAAATCGAAGTTAAGTTTTTTGAAGATGCATGTTAAATGAGCTTAGTCAAATGTTATTTGATACTATCTCTCAAGGTGCAAAGGTTAATTCATCTAGGCTATCCTAGTTGACTCAATGATGAAAGTATTTGGGTAACTTAGGCACGAAGGCTAAGCACTTCATACTTCGATGAAATGATGATTATGATTGATGAGTGATGTTGATATGACAAGGAATGGTTCAACATTGTGTTAAGATTTCATGAAAAAGGGTTCCTAAGGGAAGTATATTTGGTCATGTATTTGTGCAGTATGTGAAAGTGACACTAAGGTAAGGCCGCAATGGCTAAGTGTGTGGAAAGATATTATTTTTAGAAGAGTCAAAAGATGGTGACTCTTAGGCTAAGGTAAGCTAATGATGTAGGGATCAAGCCCCCAAGTCTAGCTCTAAGTAGATAGGGATGAGCATTGGAGATCCCTTGATATGATCATGGTGTGTGGATGTGAATGTGAATGCATTTTTATTACGGCTGCACCTCGATGTGAGGTTGCCTACGTATCCGTTAGGAATCAGGCCGAACGTAGCTCTAGCCGAACCTCGCACAAGTGTATGTATACCTCAAAAAGGTCTTTTAAAGGGTTGTAACGTGGTTAGGCTAAAGATTGAAGAAGAAGGGGATAAAAGGCTCAAGATCCTAGATAAGCCCCCAAGGTGTGCAACCTTGCTTTTGAATCTTTATATTTTTATGCTTGAGGCTTTTAACTATTTTTTTTAGCTCTCTATTCTCTTTTGCCTTAGCATCTATTTTATTTTTATAAGTGGGCAATCTCGATCATGCGGTCTATCACTCACTTGGCATTCATGTTTCTGAGGCACGGTACCGAGCACTCGATAAGAGATGCAATCTGAGACGTGTTCATATCAAAGACATGTTCATGTCAAAGACATTGGAACACTTTCCCTTTTGTACACTTTTATTATTATTATTTTTTATTTATTGAATTACCTCAAGCTTTTGAAGTTACATAAGTTACACACCATCCCATCCCAAGGTTAGGTAGATGTAGGTTGAAAAACGAAAGGTCTATCGTTAGACGAAGCTCAAAGTGGTTTAGCAAAAAAGGATTGCATATTTGAAGGGTGAAAGGTGATATGATGTGGCTACAAGGGGTGCCTCAAATCATTGGTATACCTTGTGCTTAGTTTAACATGGATTTTTTACTTTTTATATTTATTTTTTTTAATGCAATGATCATATGCAAGGAAATAAATGCTCATTTTTATTAAAGGTGAAGAAATAATGATCCTACAAAATAAATCTAAGGAGAATAAAAAGGTGCCTATGCTAGATTTATTAGGGACAGGGTAAATAAAAGAAATAGAAAAGAGGAGGTCACGAAATCTTGTCGTTGAAGCTCGCCTCTGTCTTGTGTCTTTTGCTTCATCATTACTTCCTCTTCTTGCTAGCTGGAGGCATGGGAAGCTTTTTATTACCGATCAAATGTTGGATAGCCTCCTTTAGCTTCCAACAGCTCTCAGTAGCATGACCCCTACCTTGGTGATATTTGCAATGTGCGTCTGGATTCCAACTAGGCAATCTCTTTTCAGGTGCGGGATCTTGAATAGGTCCAATGGGAGTAATGAGTCCCTTGGAATGGAGTCGATCGAAGGCAGTATCGTAGCTCATCCCAATGGGGGTGAAGTCTTTCCTTAGTTGCTTCTTAGGTCCTTGGTTATCCACGGCTAAAACTTCACTGAAATCATAGGTACTAACAATGTTACTAGAGTGGGCGTTTTCAGAAGAAAAAGGATTGTCGTTTTTCTTTCCTTTCCAGCCACCGTGGTTACTATTGTTAGTAGCTTTTTGCTTTGCGAGGTCATCTTCGATCTTGATTCCGATGTCATAAACGGCCTTGAAAGTATTCAAATTATGTTGATATTTTAAATGCTTCAAATACTTTTCTTGGAGACTTTTGACAAACATCCTTACGGATTCTTTTTCGGTGGGCACCTCAATCATCTTAGCGGAAGTTTCTCTCCACTTATTGAAGAAAGAAGTAAAGCCTTCATTCTCTTTTTGTCTTAGTATATCGAGTTTTCTATAATCGGTTTCGACTTGAATGTTACACTTGTATCTATCAATGAAAGCGTTTACTATCGATTCCTAGGTAGAGGTTTTCTCTTTGTCAAGGGAGAAGAACCATTGTTGGCAAATGGTTTCAAGAGACAAGGAAAACAAGGAATGAAAGACTTTCTTATCAATCCCCTTAATGTTCATTATAGTTTCAAAGGCTCTTAAGTGAAGATAAGGATTATCTGTTGCCTTGAATTTTGGGATGTCGTTGGCATTGAACTTCTGCGGAAGAAGCTCCTTGTCCAGCAAGACCCCTTGCGAACTGATGCCCTGAAACTTGTAATCACTAGATAGTTTTCTCAAACTTTCTTGCATAAGGTCCATTTGTTGTTGCTTCACAGGGTCATCGATTTTGAGGGTTAAAGCCTTCAATGCCTCAGTCACGGTAGTCAATTGATTCCTAAGTTCGTTGACTTCTTCTTGAGTTTCCATTATCTTCTTAGCTTTCCTCTTTTGACGAATCGGTTTATCAAAAAGTAAGACTTGAACAAAGGTGTTGTCCTTGATTAATCGCCCTTCTCTCCTTTATTGTGGAAAGGGAAATTAGGGATATTGACTGTTAATTATTTGACTCAAACTCTATTCAACATGCATAGATGGAAGAAGGTAGGAAGAATGAAGGGTGTGATATGGAGAAAGATGATGTAGATGGAGAGATATGAAAAAATTAGGTATAGAATGTACCCCCAACTCAAATGACGGAAAAAACCGACTCATGCATGAACCTAAGACATGGTCATGGTGACATATACACATAGGGGGTGTTTGGTATGGAGTTAGTATAGGAAACGGAATGGAAATAAATTAGGAGGGGAAAAGGTAACAAAAAGTGTTACCCTTACTAGTTGTTTGGTACATCAAAGGAAACGGAAACAATTATCACCATTCCATTCCATTTCCTCTTGTTTGGTATAACAAACGGAAATGAAAAATAAGAATGAATAATATAATATTGTCTATGCTACATTTTTTTATGGTAAAAAAAAGATAAAAAAAAAATAAAATAACCTGTATTGCATATATATATATATAGCAAAGTTGACACTCATTAATTATCCAAACATTGACTAATAATAAAATAACCTATATTGCTCAAGTTGCATATGTTCAACAAAAAAACAAAGACATTGCTCAAGTTGCTACTTCTTCTTAAGAAGATCAATTGCATATTGTTTTTTCATATTAAATGGTGCTTGATAGAAGATGCGAAGCTTATGTTCTTCCGCCATGAGAATAGTAGCAACCTCTAAAGCTTCGGATGGAGAAATGCCATCTAACTTCATCACCTCGTCCAATACCTTGTTCACCTTTTCATCCATTCTTTGCTCCCTTTCTTCCGCTTTAGACCATGCACTAGCCATAGTCCCGAGATTAACATTGATATTTTCAAATATCTTCCCAAAATTGTTGGAACAATCATGGAGGGAGGCCACCAAATCATCATCATCATTCCTACACAAACTCTTCAAATTTACCTTGTTCTTTCCTTTCACCTTAGTCTCCTTCGCCTTTATAGAGGGTTTTCCGGATTGAGTAGTAGAATCACTTGCGGAAGAATGAATTGTAGAAGCCTTCACTTTTGCCATTTTTGAAGGAGTTATATGATCATCCTCTATCTTCATGGGGCGTTTTCCGGATTGACTTGTAGAAGAATAAGTGTCCGAATGAGTAGAATTCACATCATCTTCTTCATCACTCTCGACATTGAATGGTTGCTTATCAATCTCTTGACCCATTTCTTCTATAGCATCAACAAACGACTCACTTGCATCTCCGGTAGCTTTGTCTTTTGCGTATATCTCCGCAAGAGTTTCATAGTGAATGAATGGAACTCCAAACAACCCTTTAGCTTTCTTATGAGTCTTCCATATAAGAGAATGCAACAAGTCAAAACATGAAAATCAGAACTGAACCAGGCAACTGTTAATCACAGAAAATAAAACCACAAAAAATATAATAGAAACAATCATCAACAATAATCACCACAGTCCAAAGCAGACTGTAATACAACACACAAAGCACCAGCACCCCTTACCCCAAGAAACAGCCCCAGCAAAGAAAATTACATAAAAAGTCATTCTGCCCAAGCTTCTTTTGCACTTATAACCACTAGCTATTGTGTAGCCTTTTAGCATCATCAATCCATATATCACCACAAGAACCAGATTTCATAATATCTCTTATTCTCCACACTTTCTTCCAATTCCAGCTTGCATTCTTAGGACACTTGAATCTCTTCCAGGTTTTTTTTTTAATCCATGAATAATCTGCAGAAAATTTGACAGCACTTCCCCTAAAACAGACATATATCTAATTTTTAACCTCGTAAAAACCTGCACAAAAGACCAGCCATGCTTCATACATGGCAACACAAAGAAACCAGGTATAGATTTAAAGCAAAATGAGCATTTGTAGCAGTACATAATTCATATATAAACTGTCCAGCACCTACCCCTCTCCCCTATCACCTATTCCCCTCCCTGCCCCCTTCCATTACACACACTGCTTCTCTCCCTGTCCAGCACCTACCCCTCTCCCCTATCACCTATTCCCCTCCCTGCCCCCTTCCATTACACACACTGCTTCTCTCCCTGTCCAGCACGGTTCATACCTTCACCCATTCATACCTTTACACACAACTGTCCAGCAGAGCAGCAGTTCTAAAGTGTAATTGAAAAAAATGAACAAAGAAGAATGAAATAGCAGTTCATACCTTCACCCATTCATCGTACACGACCTTGTCTACTTGCAACAATTTCTTCTCAGCATCCCATCCAAATCCCTAGGTGGATAGCATTTCTGCAAATGCACTATATTTCTCCGACCAATGCTTGATCCTCGACTCAATGTGGGGAACTGCTCTCAAGCCACAATTAGGAAGTACACCATTGATCATCTCTTCCAACTTATTCATGTAACCATTCTTAAACCCATTATCACACTTCCACTTCGGATCGCAACTCAACTCATGCAAATATCTTATTAGAACCGCATCTTCTTCATACGTCCAATACCTTTTATTTTTACCTCTTCCTCGATTGCTAGCCTCCATCCTAAACAAATTAGAAATAACATAAGGCAGATTAGAAATAACAGTAGGCAAATTAGAAATAAAAAGAACAGAAGGCAGATGACCATGTCTATAATATAATCGAAGGTAAAAAAAATCATACATTTTTTGCTATTGACCATGTCTACCTCTCGCCCTCCAATCATTAAACATATCTTGGGCTAATTTGTTTCTAAAATTGGTCCAATGATCCGAAGTAGCAACACTTGTAATAAATTCCCTTTCATCATCGGAATCACTTTCGGAATCATCATCGGATTCATTCAATTCATCTTCGTTTATATCATCCGTAGGCATGAATTTTCTAATTAGATTATGCAATAAGCAACAAGCCATCACGATACGTCCATGAGTTCTTATAGGGAAAAATGAAGGACTTCTAAGAATACTCCATCTTCCTTTAAGTAGGCCAAAACATCTCTCAATCACATTTCGCGCCCTAGCATGTTTCATGTTATAGAACTCCTCGGCACTTTCGGGTTGTCGATCCGTCCATTCTTTTAAATGGTATCTTTGACCTCTATATGGAGCAAGAAAACCCTCACAATTCGTATATCCCGCATCAACCAAATAATAATTACCTTCAAAGTTATTAAAGGAAAGGATTACTACCTACCAAAACTAACAAAACTTATACACTCACAAAAGAATGAGCTTCACTTACCTCGAGGTACCCTAAAACCGTTTGGTCTAGAGAGAGCATTGCAAAGTACACGCATATCATGGGCCGAACCTTCCCAACCAGGAAGAACATAAATAAATTGCAAATTGGGTGCACAAACACCCAATACATTCATAGCAATTGTTCCTTTTCTTGTTCTATATTTTGGTCGTTCTTGTGAAGGCACATTTACATTAATGTAAGTCCCATCTAATGCCCCTAAACAATTCTACAAAAATAAGAAAAAATATTACTTACATACAATCAAAAATAAGAAAATCCTAGAAAAACTTAGGGGCTTAAAAAAGACCAATACCTTGAAAAATTTCCACCTTTCATCTTCACAATCATCTAATATTGGTGTGGGATTGTAAAGTAATACTTCGTGTAATTTGAGAAGAGCCCTTAGACAAAGGTGAAATTGTCGGCTCACGGTTTCTCCACTTCTAAAGAAATATTGTCCAATAGACCTATTCTTCTTGTGGTGAGCCAACGTGTATAAAAACATGGCTACGATCTCTTGAAGTGACATGTTTTTTGTTCCACTCAAACCACCAATGTCTCTAAGCATCTCACAAATAATATTGAAAGTTCTTCTATTAACGCGAAGCTCACTCTTGCATTTCACATCACTCTCTTTATAAAGCCCTCTCAAAACTAACATTCGTAGCAACTTTTTGTTTCTTTTTCTTTCTTTCAATTGAACACCCTTTATTGTAACAACACACATCATATGCCACATCCAATACATCATCAAAATAATAATAACCATTGAAATAACTAGTTGTATTTGTTTTAGCTTTTTCTTCCTTGAGGAACGCATAAGTCGGGGCATTGTAGAAATCTTGAAAAACTAGTCCAAAAAATATACAATAGTATCAATATATTACCCATCAAAAACCATTAAAATACAAGAAATAAATACATCATCGATCAACATAATCTGATTTTTGGCCGGATGGAGCAATAACATACATGAGGTAATCGTCTGCGATAGAAAACTAGAAAATGATTTTATTTATTATATAATAAGCACGCAATTACAACATATAAGAGGTTGAATATATATAATAAGCACGCAATATCCTCTATCAATTAGATAGAAATAATTTGGTGTGTTAACAGCAATCAATACCAATTAGACATTCGTTTAAGAATTTATAAATTAATCTACCCAAGCCAACCCCTGTCCCCCATATAATAAAGGAAAAAAAAGTCATAACCAATATCATTTAGTTCATACATACGAATTATACATTATTAATCAAGTAGATGGCTTGATGGTATGATGTTTAAATGAAAGTTCAATAAAATTGGAGATTTAATAGTAGAAAAACTACTGCATTTGACTCTTTCCGAAAAACAAAAATAAAAAAACAAAAAAAATTGACAGCTATTATGAATATCCAAATACTGCACAAATCGGATGAAATCATTCGTCATCCCATTGTCGAATTACTCACTTGATACTGATACGTTTCCAGGCGTTCCAGGTAAAATATACTACCATCCTTAACTTCAAAACTCACCCAAAAACCACCATCACCATGACATTCACTTACCCAATCAAAAACACCACCGATCCTCACCACCAGAAACCCCATCCACCTCTCATAAGTTCACCTCCAACCCTTGAACCCGATAAACAGCAAAACAACAGCAATCAACAAAGAATGTTCCACCAATCACGCAGATTAGCAAATAAAACATAGTAATTATATCAATATCTAGTTAATCAACAAAGAATGCTCCACCAATCACGCAGATTAGCAAATACAACATTGTAATTATATCTAAATCAGAGTCATGTATATTGTCGAGCGAGTATAGCAATAATCAACAATTATAGCAATAATAGCAATAATAGCAATATATAATTATATACTATCAAATTCAGCAGAAAATCAACAAAAGATAAAAAAAAAATTCAATCGAACAAGCAAGTAAATAATTCAAACCAGAAACGGCAAAATTGATATTGCATGAACCCTAGAAATTGAACGAGAGAAATGAAGATAGCAAACCTGATATTTGCAGTAGAAAATTGAAAATTTAGGAGCAAGATCTGGAGAATTGCAGCTTTCCTTGTAGAATCGTCTAGCAAGATCTAGAGATTTGCAGTAGAAAATCGAGCGAGCGAAGAGGAGGGAGAAGAGTTTTCTGTATTTTTTGTGTTAAAGGAAGGAAAGAGAATCTGTTTCCTCACTCATTACGGCGGAAACAATTGGGTGGAAATGGTTACCACTTACTAACGGTTTGTGTTACTTTAGTCCGTAACCAAACACAATGTAACGGAAACACTAACATGATTCCGTTTCCACCCCTTTAAAAAACCTATACCAAACACCCCCATAGTGTGTGCTAAGACTAGTGAGTGTAGGTGACATGTTAAGACTCGTGTCATGACCATGTGACTAGACTATGTGACTAGACTCAAGCAAAGACTAAATTAAGACTTCATGTATATGCATTAAACTGGACAGGCTATGGTATTTTAGTCATAACTTTTGATCTGTGACTCTGATTGGGATGAAACCAACGCCAAATTAAAGATAAAACTCGGGGCTACAGATCCATAGGCTGTAAGACTCGTAGTTCTTTCTAGAACTCCGGCTATGACCAAAACAAGTTGACGCTTGTGCAATATACGGGAATAATAATCCGGGTTGACTTAAAGGAACTATGACTCGATTTAAGGTATATTTTTTTTAGCTCAAATTAATTAATTAATTAATTAAACAAAGTACTTTAGTCATTAATTAGTTTATTTAGTCTTAATCACAAATCAAACAAACGGTTAGGAAAAACACATAGAGTGTGCACAAGCAAAGAATGCACAAGTAGTCAAGTAGTCATACAATATGATGCAATGAGTTTGCAACCTAACCATGGCTCTAGTTCTCTAAAGTTCGGGATATGGGTTGGTCAAAGAGGGTCCATGGTTAATTTTCCGGATGCACCTCGCGGAAGCCTAACCGTGAAGGGTTGGCGCGACTGGATGGGACACCGCGAGTTAAAAACTCGTTTCCATGGTTTGATGAATTCAACATTCTCGGATGTACCCTTTGTTGCACAGAGCGTTCAATCAGGTAGATGGAGCATGAATTCCCAGAGGGTTATGTACATATGTACAACACATATGGGTTTCAGATTAGTGAGAAAAACTTAATCAGGAAGTAGGATCGAGCAAACATTGCTAAAAACTGATCAAAATTAGAACGCATATTTCTGGCTCGGTATTGGAAGAACTTGGCGCCAGCAAACAGAGGTCGGCGCCAACGATTTGGCTTTGGCACATGGCGACAGGAGTGTAGCCTGGCGCCAGAGTCAAATCAGTGGCGCTAGACTCTGTTTTCTGACGCTAGTTCCTACATGCCTCAGCAGCTTTCTGTGCTCGATAGAATTTTCCAGTTTCGTGCAGCATTATTTCGATCCTAGTTGTGAAAGATATTCTTCAAATTTCCTACGTGTAAAAAATCCTATGTTTTTAACTCATTACGGATGGTGTTCCAATGAGATATTTTTTATGCATATGACAATAATGTTAATCAAAATTACGCACATGAAATACTTGGAACTTTTCGAGTATCATCCACTCATTCTAAATCATTGCCGAAATAAATTTCAGGAATTAAAATAGAAATCCTCCCCAGTGGAGTTGCCAAAACACTGTAGGGAATATTTCAAGCATTACCCCTAACTTGAACCTCACTGTGATCATACACTAAAGTACGGTGGCGTCCAAAGGGAAGGAAGGTAGAGCAAAAGAGTCGCTAACATGTTTTAGGAACTTGTAAACCGTTCACGAGGTGAAGGTTACACCCCTTAACGATCTAGGAGATCGTCAAATCTAATAGGTCTGGAACCATGACTGGTAGTTCAGGGATGAGGTACAAATCCAACCTAAAAGAGATTGAACCTGCCCTAATTATAGGCCTCTACTTTATTCTGATCGTATTCATGTGCGCTTTTTGACTAACATGCAATCAATAGGTTTACCCTAAACCTGTTTAATCTATGTTGGTTGAATATTAATGCACAAATAAACCTATTATTGGCGATCACTTGAATCATAATAAAATTAACCCTAAACAAGACTATTAATTATCTTATTAAGCGTGATTACAAGTACCAATTCCCTTTAAACATGCATAAAAGGTGTGATCAAGCAATAACAATAAATAATATCAAGCAACATCATAATAATATTCAAAATAATAATAATTAAAATAATCATGAATCATGTTAAAGAATAATAATAGCAAGATCCTAGGCATGATACTAACAAGATTAATAAAAAGACCCTAGCATGTCACTAAACAATAAAGATCAAATATATAGCCCTAACATGATACTAGCATGCTATTAGGAAAGACAATAAAAGGCATCATAGAAATCATAATTGACATTATATTCTTTACCCTAAACATGATACTAGGAACTTATTGTTGTCATTCTAAACATCAAATTAAGAAAAGCATCCTAAATGATACTAGGAATCAATAAAATAATCTAATCATGATTTCTATATCATAATAACAATGCAAACAATTAAAGCACTTACTTGGATGCCTTGTATCTCTTTCTAATAACAAAATACACACGTTAGTAACTTCAAGGAAAATAATAAATCAAACAATTAAATTAAATAATTGAAAGAAAGATTAAAGAAAGTTTAGACTAGATTTGGGACCAAACCCTCAGAAATCAAACCTTTCACGTCTAGGGCGAAGGCAACTTCGAACAATGATAGGTAAGTCTAGTGCTAATGTATGAGGAATTGTATTTGTAAAAGGCTAGGCTTAGAAAAGAGGGAGAGAGAATCAAGAAATTCTTGATGAGAGTTGGTGAGAGAGACTTAGAAGAATTGATGATTGAAAACGGAGATTTTAGGAGGCTATTTATAGAGATAATCAGCCGGGTGGATAGAAAAACGAATCAGAGTTTCGATGATAATAAAACACTATTGGCGCTAGACGGTGAACATTAGCGTCAGGCGTTGAAGGTTCGCGCTAGGCGCTAATAGCTGTTTTCACGCGTTTTCTTAATTTTGATAAAATTTAGCCTTACAGAAGGGCAAAATCGTATTTTTCTTTAAAAACACTTCTTTTATTCTGATTAAAACTATACAAAGTCAAGCGAAGTCAATTTATCAATGCTAATTAAATTAGGAATGAAAAGAACCTTCTAGAAGAATCTAGAAGACTAAAATAAATTCTAATTGCATTAGGAATGATAAATCAATATTAGGCCCTCCTCTAGATCATTGGGCCGCACATAAAAATCAAACCGGGCCCAGTTTAGTAATTTGGCCATAACTTCCTCATTTTTCATCGGAATCGGGCTTATAATATATCGTTGGAAAGGTCTTTTCAAGCCCCATCCAACTACACTATTATTGGACCCTTGCCATGTACCAAACCAAACTAGATTGGTTGTTTTCTTTAAATAGGTTTTCAAAAACAGAAAGAAAGAAAAGAATTAAAAACTATCCGTAACACTAGACTTTCCACACTTTCACTTCATTCGATTATGATTCGACGTGAAAGGTACTCATCACTGGGTTTGGTTTTGGGGAGACACAAATGAGTGTCTACAAAGGGTCTCTTGTTTAAACTCCTATTTAGATTCAATTGGCTTAAGTTTAGTTCAGTTTAGGTCCAATTAGATTTTAGTTTAGTCCTCGTTTCCTAAATTCATTTTGTCATAAATAATTACATAAACAATTCATTAGGATATGATTTGAGTTCAACTCAATTGAATTCAATTGAACTCATAAACATTTACATAAACAATTACTTATTAGACTTTGTTAAACATTGTTAATTTTAAGCATTACATTAGGATTAACAAAGTAAAATCCAATTACTCATCTTAATTGAGTAACAAACCAA